CAGTGGGTGCTCCAGGCACTGAAGACCCCATGCATCCCTGAAGCCCCCCAAGCCCACCCTCTCCCCACACAGCCCACCCACAACACAGCCTGGGGTGGGGGCAGCGGGTCAAGGTCCCCCCAGAGCCCCCAGCGTGGGGACCTGGGGTGTGTGGCCAGATGCTGGGCATGCACTCTGACCTCCTCCTGGCCCCTCTGCACTTCTCGGGGGTGACCCCAGGAGGATGGGGTGCACCGGGTCCCCCAGGGGTGTGGGCACCCTGAAATGAAGAGGGGACCCCGAGCAGAGACCTGCAGCCCCTGGCCTTCCCCGGGGCTCCAGCACCAGCCAGAGGCATCAAATATTAACGGAGCAGCGGAGGAGCTGAAAATAACCCTCCCTCCACGGGAGCTGACCCAGATCTGGCCAGCCCCAAAGCTGGGGCTGGACCCAGAGCCCCGGCCAGCACACTGCTGGGGCCAAATCCAGCCCCTTCCCCTCCTCCAGGCTGCTCTGCCCTCCTGATGCCAGCTATATAGTGCCTATATATTATGCAAATGAGCTATAAGGGCTTATTACGCAAATGCGAGGGGGTTGGCGCTGCCCGGTGCTGGGTGGTCCCCGGGGCTGGCCCTGACAGCTCAGAGAGGACAGCGGGGATGGAGGGGGCCGTATCGGCGTCCGCATCCTCCCGGGTGTCCGGGGGCTGCCAGGGAGCGCTGCCCCATCCCTCTCCCCTCCTGTAGTGCGGAGGGACCCCAGGTGCCTGCCCCGCTGCAGCGCTCGTCCCCCGGGACGGCCAGCACGTCCCAGTGGCATGGGGAAGCAGAACAGCAAACTGCGCCCGGAGATGCTCCAGGACCTGCGGGAAAACACCGAGTTCTCCGACCTGGAGCTGCAGGGCTGGTACAAGGGTTTCCTGAAGGACTGTCCCTCGGGCATCCTCAACGTGGAGGAGTTCAAGAAGATCTACGCCAACTTCTTCCCCTACGGCGACGCCTCCAAATTTGCCGAGCACGTCTTCCGCACCTTCGACACCAACGGCGATGGCACCATCGACTTCCGAGAGTTCATCATCGCCCTGAGCGTCACCTCCCGCGGGAAGCTGGAGCAGAAGCTCATGTGGGCCTTCAGCATGTACGACCTGGATGGCAACGGCTACATCAGCCGGGAGGAGATGCTGGAGATCGTGCAGGTACCAGGCTCCCTCGCCCCGCCGTGGCTCCCGGTGTGTGGTCCTGCGTGTCACCCTAGTGTGATGGTGGCTGTCCCCTCCTGGGATGTGGGTGGGCTGGGCACATGGACCCTGCGTTACCCCCGGCACAGGGCTTGACACAGTGCCTGGGACGGAGCCTATTGCTGTCTGCAGAGAGCCAGTCGCTGAGCTCTGCGGCTGCAGGGATCGGTCTACCCTGGGGCATCATCCCCTGGTCCTTCCCTGTCCTGGGGACAATCGTTTGTCACCCCATCTCAGGGCTCTTCCCGCTGGCCCCACTCTGCTCTTGGGGAGGGCTGGGTGCGTGGCAGCCACCCCTGAGCACCCCGGGGGCAGAGGGGCGTGCTGTCGGCAAACTGGCAGGAGGTGGTCTCCTTGCCCAGACCGCAAGCCGGTGGCATCGGCATCAGAAGGTGACTCATGAGGCCATTGCAGTGACATCTCACTGGGCACCTCCTCCCTGCAGGAACAGCTCCAGCTGCCTCCTGCAGCCGGGTTGTTTCCCTGGGGTTGCCACTTGCATCCACCCCGGCTGTGCTGGGAGCTAAAGCTCCCCGTAGCCTGATCGCACGGGGAGGGTGTTAAACGCCAGCCCCGCTCCCCGGGCAGCGAAGCCCAGAGCTCTGTCCCCTCTGTCCAGAGCTCTGTCCTGTCTGATGGCAGGCGCCCACCTTGCACCCACCCTGATTCCTGTCTCCCGCTCCCAGGCCATCTACAAAATGGTCTCCTCCGTGATGAACATGCCCGAAGATGAATCGACTCCAGAGAAAAGAACGGAAAAAATCTTCCGACAGATGGATACTAATAACGACGGTAAATGAGAGGAGATGGAGGGGATTAAGGGAAAGGTCTCATGGCTAAATCCGGGGGTCTTAGAAGGAGCCGCATGCATGCTGATTAAATGGCTCGCGTCCGCCGGCATGGCTGGGGGGAGCCCTGGCAGCCGGAGGGGCTCGGTGTGCTCCTGCAGCCCGGGGAGCAGAGCCCAGGGGTGCTCATCCCGGGCAGGTGGGTGTCTGCGGTGCCAGGGGGTCTCCGGTTCTGTGTGTGCACCCGGGACAGGGTGGTAGCCACCAGGCTGAGCTGTGTCCCTCCCCGCAGGCAAGCTCTCGCTGGAGGAGTTCATCAAAGGTGCCAAGAGCGACCCGTCCATCGTGCGCCTGCTGCAGTGCGACCCCAGCGGGGCCGCGCAGCTCTGAGCCTCGTGGACCCCCACAGCCTCCCACAGCCCTCACGGCCCCCCACGGCCCCACACCACCCCCCGACCCTGCAGCCGGCCACTGCCACTGTCCCCTGCCTGGGCCCCGCGGTCCCCACCACCATGCCCCCATGACTTCTCGTGGGGAGGGAGCTGGAGCCCAGCTGAGGCCGGGGCTGGGGGAGCCCGGGGGGACAGTCTCCATCGCCAGGGGGGCTCCTGCCCTGGCCTGCCTGAGGGAAGGAGGATGGAGGCAGGGTCTGCCCTGAGCGAGGACGGTCCCCCCAGCACCGAGGGCTTGGAGCAGGGGGACAACCCATCCTGGTGGGAAAGGCTGGTGGTGAAGCCACCGCTGCATCTCCGGCAGGCGTGGGGACATGGTCCAGGGGACAAAGACACGGTGGTTTGGGGGCCCTCCCAGCACCCCCCCCCCACATGCACACACTGCCACGGCCGTGGGGCCGGGTCAGCCTCTTCCCCATGGCCGGCGCACGGGTGGGGGCCATGGGAGGGGACACGCTTCTGGTCTTTTAATACCTGCAGAATAAAGTTTGTGTCAGTGCAATCAGTGGTGGGAAAGGGGCCAGCGATGCTGAGGGGAAAGTTCCTCCCCGCAGGGTCTGGATCCAGCCCAGTCGCCCCCCTCTCTGCAGCCCCCGAGGCCATGGGGATGGGCTCCTATGTCTTGGCTGGTGGTGTCCAGGGGATGTGGCTGCCCGATAGCCGGGCTGGGGGGCAGCTGGGTCCCATTGCAGGGCTGTGTGGGTGCTGGGATGGGGCAGGGCTCGCCGGGGCATATCCATGGGGTCGACCCTCGGGCCCCACGCAAAGCTGGGCAGATTCCACACTGTCCAGCCTCAGCAAGCCCAGGCACTGCCCGGGGCCAGGGCCCTCCGCAGCAGCTGCCTGCAAGGGGACCTGCAAGCCAGAGAGGATGATGAGAATGAGACGGAGGGGGATGAGAGCTTTGGGTCAGCAAGTCCTACTCCCCATCCTGGATCCCCCAAGCCCAGCTGGGTCCGTCCCAGCCCTGCATGGGAGTGGGTTGGTGCTGAGCCCGGGGACCACAAGTCACCTTCCTCCAGTGCACCCTGTGGCAACAGCAGCCGAGGCAGAGGAGGTTGATGGTGAGCAGGAGGCAGTGGATGCTGAAGATGATCTCCATCAAGTCAAGCAGAAGGGAGATGGTCCAGAGGGACAGCGTGGAGCTCTTGCGGGGACACGGGGTGTCAGGTCCCCACCTGCATCCCCCCATGCCCAGTGCAGGCATCCCCAGCCGCAGCCCACAGCCTGCTGGGGACTCACATAGACACGGGTGGGATGGAAGGGACACTCGCAGGAGACCGGGGCGAGGGCAACGTTGGCAAAGGCAGGGGGCCAGCAGCACACGGCCCCGGCTGCCCAGCATCAGCCCGATGGAGACGGCCAGCCCCAGCAGGCAGGACAGGCAGCCCCGGCGGCTGCTGCTGCTCAGGGCAAAACCCACCCATTTCTGCAGGAGGGGAGAGAAGAGGCAGCGTGGCGAGCCGGGCCACAAGAGTCTGCCTGTCCAGGCTCCCTCCTCGGGGACATGGTGGCCATGCATACTCAGGGATGGCTACAGCCCAGTGGGTGCTGGGCGAGGGGCTGGGGGGCTAGGGGAGCTTATGAGGGCAGCGTGGGCAAGGTCGCGGGACAGCATGAGGGCAGCTGTTCTGCAGGAGATGGTCTGCAAGGAAGCGCAGAGTGGTCAGCGATGCACGGCAGCCGCCTGCCCCAGGGACATCGGGTCCCCTTTCCCTGGTGACATGGTCCCTGAAAGCTCATCTGGCCAATTCAGCATGGGGGGGCAGAGCTTCATTTCCCCCAGCTCCATCCCTGATCCTGTCTGAACCCCTTGGATCCCCTCCCTCCCTGCCTCAGTTTCCCCTGCAGGAGGGCAGTGCTGGAGCTGCAGACAGGGCTGGGGCACCCTCCCATCATGATCACCATGCTGGACCCAGCCTCCCCCCCCTTGACACATCTTCACTGGGCCAGGATCAGGCCATCAGAGCCCCTTGATGCCCCCGGGGTCTGCCCTGCCCTCAGCCCCTGGGTGGGCAGCCAGATCCATCAGGGTCCCCACGTGGCTGGGCAGGACCAGGCCACCGGAGCCACTCGCCTGCTGCACCCCACTGCTATTCCAATTCCCGTTGGACCAGCTCCCCGGGATGAAGACAGGGATAACTCCACCTGCGCCTGCCTCCGCCAAGGGAAGCACAGCCCCGTCCCCATCCCTGTGCTCCCCACAGCACACTGTGCCACGCCGTGCCAATACACCTCGCCATGCTGCCCCATCCCCTTCCCCATCCATCCCCATCTCCCCAGCACACTCAGGTTGATCCACCCTAACACGATGGCAGCAGGCTGGGATCCGGCCGGACAGGTCCGAGGCCACCAACCAGTCCAAGGGTCTGAGAAGAGGCAGGCCCTCGGGCTGGGATGCTGCTGGACCATGGGACAGAGCCCAGCACCATCAGGTACCAGGGATCAACCTGCAATGAAAGGGAAAAGCAGAGAGGTCAGGGCTGGTCCCTACCTCCCAGAAGGTGACTTGGAGGAGCCACTTTGGTGGCAATTGCCCTAACAAAGTTTCCAGGCAAGTTACTGAGAGCAGGAGACTGAGTGAGAGGGGCTGGGGACAACGCTCGCCCAGGTGGCTGCGGGAAGAGCAACCCAGGTCTGCTCGCACGGGGGGTGCTTTGGGGAGCCCGCCCTCACTCATGGGGTGACGCTCTCTGCAAAGCTCCTTGCAGACATGAGGCACCAACAATTTAATTACAGGGACAGCAACACAGCCCTGGCTCCTGGGACTGGTCTGGGGAAGGGCTTGGTCCAGGCAGAGGCTCCAAGACACCAGCCCAGCCCTCAGCCTCCTCAGCGCTGGGAATTGGGCTCAGCACCACATTAGTCCCCACCCTTCCCCTCTTTTTAAACCGTACACAGCCCTGCTAAATAGGGAGGGGGGACAGAGAAACCTCTCCCTACTACAGCTTCAGGACAACAGTGGGTCCAGCCACCGCAGCGGTGCGTGGCACATGCACCATCCCCATCACCGCTGCAGACAGAACAAGGCTGTCACATCACCCCTTCTAGAGGCATTTTCCCCATGCCTTGGGCTAGGGCCGTGTTTAGAAACGCTTGACCAAAGGGGAAAGGCAGCCAGAGCATTTCACCATAGATCTTTGGAAAGGATGAGCTGGATGCGAGTCCAATGACAACCAGAGTCTTTATTCAAATAGTCCCTTAGGATGTTTGCAGACATACAGACACACGTACGTATTTACACTCTTACACACCTCACAGAGCTTGAACCAATAAATTAAAACAAAAAGAGGGCGGGGATATTTTTTTTTTTTCCTTTTTCTTTTTTGTCATATAAGAAACAGCAACTCCCCGAAGCGAGGCTGGGGAGCCAGCTGGCGAATCGCAAACAGAAGCCAACACGGACACAACCCTGCCCCAAAAGATGCAATGACAGCGAGTGTGC